ACCACCTAGTGGCCCCTCCACACAGCATACTCTCTTTGTCTATGCTGTTCTCTGTCACCGAGAACGTCCTTTCCGCACCTTGTCCTCCTAAGCAAAGCCTAGCTCATCTTCATCCTTTAATGCATAGCTCACATCTCATGAACTTCTCTCTTATGAAGAGATCAGCTCAAGCCTACATGGTCTCAAATATCAAAATCAGTATCTGTGGTTGAGAGGAATAATAATAACAGTGAGCATTTAAATGGTTCTTTAACATCTGCAAACCATTTCACATGCATTATTTTATTTTGACTTAATCTGCACAATATCCCTCTAAGGCAGGTGCTATTACTATCCCCATTTTGCAAGTGAGGAAACTGGGGCTGAGAAAGTTAGATGACTTGCCAAGGTCATACAGCTAGTAAATGTCTATGGCTGGATTTGAATTCATGTCTTCCAGCTGCCAAGTCTAATAGTCTACCCACTGTGCCACCGAGATGCCTGTTGCATATGCCTCAGCCCTTTTTGCTTTTCATCAGTCATTGGCACCACCATTGGCCATGATATGGCACTCTGTGAAGGTAGCCAGGGCACCAGCCCAAAACCCTTTAGTGGTAGGAATTGTCTTAGCACAAAGGATCATAATGACCCTATCCTCTTACCTAGCATGCCAGCTAAGAATCAACACAGTGATCATAGTAACATCTTTGGGATCACCAAGGGCATCAGGCTGACCCAGAATGTCCAGTCCAACACACCCACCTCTTGAGCCTCATTGGAACTGAGAAGGACTGTTCACAAGTCCCTTTGTCTATCCAATACCAGGATTTCAAGTACTTTCTCAGAAACACCCCCAGATAGATTTGAAACATTTCTGCTAAAAGGTGCTCCAGGAACATCATCTGCACTTATTAACCACTTCTTTCCCCTTGTGCTCCCCTACATATGCCAAGCTATTACCCTACAGAAACAGGATCACAGAGTCTTAGAGTTGGAGATCACTCGGGGCCGCCTGTTTCTACCTATCCCTGAACAGAAAGCCACCTGTTGGCTACATGCATGACAAATAGTCAGTCATCTTCTGCTGAAAAACCCTATCAGGACAGGGGCAAGCCCATTCCTGGTTCTATTAACAGCAGTGTAGCCTACTGGTGACAACAGAAATTGGCGCTGATATAAGTAAACAGTCCAGTGGATAGAGTGTTGGACCTGGGAGGCCTCCTTTGCAATCTGGCCTCTGACATTCACTAGCTTTTTTACCCTGGGCAAGTCACTTAACCTCTGTTTGCCTCACTTTCCTCAACCATGAAATAAGGATGACAATAGGGTTTTTGTGAGGCTCCCATGACATAGTATTTGTAGAAAGCACTTAGCACTATGTCTGGCACATAGTGATCACTATAAAAAATGCTTGTTCATTCCCCCTTCCTCCTTCTTCCTCATGTCCTGATTCTGTCATATTCTCCAGCAGTATCTGGAGTCACATAGAAGTTGCCTTTATTGGTGCCTTTTCCCACTACTCCACTATAAACTCACAGAGGGCAGGGAACTTGTCTTTTTATTCATCAATCAACAAGCATTCATTACACACCTACTTTGTGCCAGGCACGGGTGATGATGGTACATAGACAAAGAGGAAACAAACCCTGTCCTCCAGGAGGTAACATCCTAAACTTTGTGTCTCCCCAGCAAAGAGCTTTTCATTAATACTTGGGTTATGGGTGGATGTTGCCAATTTAGGTGATGAATTTTCATCACTGGATGTGGACTGCTTAATGAGATTATCTTCCAGCCTAGTGTTTGCATGACATTGTCCAGGTCTCACTGGGCAGCTGCTTACTGACCCCTCTTTATTGATCAGACATTTTTCCCTTTAATTAATTGTGCCCAGAGGGCAAGGTGTGACCATTTGCACCAGAAGAGATGGCTTGTTGCTTGGTCCTACCAATTGGATGCCAATGGGACTCGCACAAAAGAATGCTGATAAAGCCCAAAGGTGGGGGAGGCTACTTGCAAATGGATCAGTCACCGTCCCTGAACTTTGACATACTCAGCTCCTGAGTCCTAGAGGACAGGGCACTGGGCACACTTCATATCAGGCTGCGCTCCACTCCATCCACTGCCATTGCCTCAAGTTATATGACCTAGGTGCTTTGGGCAGAGCATTAAATCAAACTCTGGCCACTGGCCCTGTTAGTCTCATTCAAAATAGATGTTTCCATCCCTGTTAACTCTTGCTTCTAGGGCAAGTCTTTGTTTTGGAAAGACACCAATTGTCTGTGCTGGAAGTATAGTGATCTCTGGACCTTGAGGATGTTTGCTTACACAGCCTTGGAGAGAGTCAAGGACATTAGGAGTGTTGGATCTGGCTCTAGGAGCAGTCCTAACTCCTGCCTGAGGGAATCATTTTCTTTGTTCTGACTAGAGTGTTCAATCAGGGTGGAATAATTCAGTGCAACCTAAAGCAATGGAAGGACAAGTTGGGTTTTGTTATGTAATTAATGGCATATTTTACTATTTGTCAAAGTTCATGCCACGACCAGGCTGCTAGTCTTTTGACTTGAGAACCATCACTGATTCAGCCTTTAATTCAAAAAAAAAAGAAAAAAAATGGTTCTGGCCTTAGAGCAAGTCAGGGTTTGTCTGATCCCTAAGAATCCCAGGGTATTTTATAAGCTGACCTCATGGAGGACTCGAGTTTGTTCTGGCAAAGCCCCAGAGAGGACCCCGGGGAAGCTCTGCCTGTGAAGCCCAGGCTCTCTGCTCACAGGCAGCCTTGTAACGCAGGATTAAAGTGAGACAGAGGAAGAGGTGTGAAGGTAGTGAGTCTTCCAAGCACTTCCATTCAGAAAACCTCCCTCCCCATCTCCATAGTGCTAGTGGATTCTTGGGGTGAGGGAGAAGCAGAGAAAGAATGTCTAGCTCTGAGTGAGTGGGATCCCATAGAACCAGCCCAGCTCCAGGCTTACTCTGTGAAAGTCAAGGGTCTTCCTCTGGCTCAGTCCCTGGGCCTGTATGTAACAGGCTGAGAAGAGATGGATGCTTCAAATCTTTAAAAAAAATCAAGAAAGCCCTGAGCCCTAAACATCTTAATGTCCTCCGTGTCCAGGTGAGCTTTTATTAAAAAAAAAAAAAGTTATGCCAGCCATCCTCCTGAATTGGAACAAGTGGAAAATCATAGTAGTGATAGAGGTTCAAACCCTATGTCATTGCCTGGCCAAAGATGAGGCATGTGAGGAAGGACTTCAAGATGCCAACAAGTGAGTGAATTATCTCTGAGGTTCAAGAGTGCCAGTGTCTGAAAAAGCAAAAAAGTGCATTGAATGCTGTCCAGCCCTGAGGGCATGCCCTACTCTGAACCAGCCGTTTGGAGAGGGAGGAGCCAAAGCTTGAGAATAGGAGCCTTGATCTTAGCCAAAGCTTCAGTGGGTTTCAGCCTATGTGACACCCTTCTTATCTCCCTCACCTGCTGGAAGCTCCATGTTGACTATGTGGGCTGGTTCATTTCATGAGGCTGGACCAGAAGTAACTGTGGGACAGATGCCCTGGGAGTGTCATCAGGGAAGAAGGTCCCAAGTAGGACAAATGGGTCCTAGAAGCAAAAACCATTGTAGGTAGTTCCATTGCATTCAACTGAAAAGGAAAAGAAGAGAATCGGCCCCCAAAATTAGCCTTGCCTAAAGGAAAGGTGCCAAATGGCCCAGGTCCGTTGTCTGGGCACACAAAGATGTGTGTGCATAGCCCTGGGAGATAAAGATGAAGACAGTATCAGCAAAGGGAGAGCAGGAGGAATGATAATTTCTGGAAGGTTGTTTTTTTCTTTGAAGTAATTTTTATTGATATTTTGTTTCTTATATCTAAAGAACATTCCATGCATCCCTCTTCCTCCTCCTCACCAAGAATCATCCTATATGAAAAAGTGTTTTGTTTTGTTTTTAAAGAGAGAAAAAAATCCGCATAACTGGTGGATACATAGAGAAAGTCCCAAACATGCACCATGTGT